AAAAAAAATATAAATGAAAAAATATTAAAAAAACGTCTGCTCTGGCACTCGAACCTTGCATCTCTCGACTGGCACTCCAAAGCTTTGAACGCCTCGAGCAAAATGACATACTTAATACGCGGCAAGTTAATTTTTCCTAAGAAGAAAAAACATAGTACTGAAAACTAGGGAACTGGGTTTGTCTTAAACTGAGTCAAGTAGTTTACTCATATTAAGGCAGGCCACTTCAAAGTAATATTTCCTTAGAGTAATATACTTTTTTCCTAGCAACAAGGAATGTTTTTTCTGAGTGCATGTACAAGAAGAAAAGGGTATACATTTTAAAATGCGCTAATCATCCGTGTTTCATTCTATATTGCTAAATAACTGTCTCTCCTTAATCTCTTGAAAAATATTAAAAAAATAAAAATAAGCTGTAATTCTTGTATGTGAAAGCTTTTACTTCATATATAATTACTTAAAACTAGTCTCAAGGATCTGTCCCATCAGTCACAACTTCAATAATTTTTAGTATTTCTATGGCGACTATATCAGCTCAAATTTTATTGAAAACGAAAGTGTAGAATTCATATTATGTGTTTTGGCTAAAATTCATCTTTGAGTGCGGTATACTTTCAGTGTCCCACCAGTCACAACGGAATGGCCCTATAATTAACTTTTTGACTAAAAAGAGAAAATGTTATCCATTATTAAAATTATGATAAGAGGAGTAACATTTTCTTCGAGTTTTTTCACTATGGATGGATGCCATCATTTGAGCATATGTACATTAGGAATGTTAATCCCGGGATCCCGGCCTTTTTAAGGTCCAAAAAAACAATCGGGCTTTGTAATTTGCACTGATGGCAATAGTACTCCTTTTCTAGACCAGTATTGGCTATATTTCTTTTTTTATTTAATAATTCATATCTATACTAATTATATAAAGAGAAGTCCCTTTTTTTTGTAACAGGTAATCTCGTGAACGGCTGGTCCGATTTTCATGAAATTTTGTATATAAATAGCCTTCGGTAACCACCATGTTTTAGGCTAAAAAAATTAACTTTTTTCGTTTAGGTGGACCAGGGACCGGTCTATTCAAAAAAATCTTATTATGGACCGATTTACTTAAAATTAGGTACGCGGGTAGCTTTTTAGCATATATTCGCATATATGATCCATTTTTTCCGAGAAGTGGACCAGGGACCGATATATTCGAAAAAATCGCATTTATGGTCCGATTTGCTTAAAATTCGGTATGTAAGTAGCTTTTTAGCATATATTGGCACACATGATCCATTCTTTCCGAGAAGTGGACCAGGGACTGATCTATTCGAAAAAATCGTATTTACGGTCCGATTTGCTTAAAATTCAGTACGCAGGTAGCTTTTTAGCATATATTAGCATATATGATCAATTTTTTCCGAGAAGTGGACCAGGGACCGATCTATTCGAAACAATCTCATTGTGGTCCGATTTGCTTAAAATTCCATTTTTTCCGAGAAGTGGACCAGGGACCGATCTATTTGAAAAAATTGTATTTACGGTTCGATTTGCTTAAAACTCCGTACGTAGGTAGCTTTTTAGCATATATGATCCATTTTTTCCGAGAAGTGGACCAGGGACCGATCTGTTCGAAACAATCTTATTATGGTCCGATTTGCTTAAAATTCGGTACTTGGGTAGCTTTTTAGCATATGTGATCAATTTTTTCCGAGAAGTGGACCAGGGACCGATCTATTCGAAGAAATCATATTTATGGTCCGATTTGCTTAAAATTCAGTACTTAGGTAGCTTTTTACCTGGATAAGCTTATAGATTCCTGCAATTGATTTTAATGCAATTTCGAATATAAATAGCTTTGAGCAACGACCATACCAAGGGGCGTATTCGTCACTTGGCAAGATTTTTTTGCGCCAATCAGAAACAACGGATACTGTCAAAATATAATTATAATATATAATATATCTCAGCTAATATATATTTTGAAAGCCGTGAAAGCAAGGACCAAGAGCGGCTAAACCGATTTTTTTGAAACTGCCACCTGCCGCACGTGTCCCAAGGACGGTTTTAGGCTAAACAAAAATCTATATGTAAAGGGGGCGTGGCACTTCCCATACAAACCGAATTTCTCATGCTACATATCTCTGAAAGTGTGCATGGTAGAGTTCTGGAACTTGGTATGGAGATATACGAAATCAATCGCATACCCTTGGAGAAAAAATTTAAGCTATTGTAAAAAGGGGTGTGGCATCTCCCATACAAACCAAATTTTTCACACTACGTATCCCTGGAAGTGTTCATGGTAGAGTTCTGGAACTTGGTATGGAGATGTACGAAATAAATCGCATACTCTTGGAGAAAAATTGGAACTATTGGGATAGGGGGCGTGGCATCTTCCATACAAACCAAATTTTTCATATTGCATATCTCTGGAAGTGTTCATGGTATAGTTCTGGAACTTGGTACGGAGATATACGCAATCAACTGTTGAGGAAAAATTGGAACTATTGGAAAAGGGGG